TCAGCAGTTTTCTTAGCTTTTAGCCAAAACGTCATTATCTAAAATTATCGAAGGGACATCAAAATATCTTGGTGTACCGAGATGTCGCGAAGCAATAACACATAAATATTGAATATTTTACGATTGAATATTTTAACGCAAAAATTATGTGTAGTTGCCAGTCCATAAGTATATTTTAATTCGATCGTCTATTCCTACACACACACATACACACACACACACACACACACACACACACACACACACACACACACACACACACACATACACGCACATAGATATATTGAAGATAAAGTTAGCGAACTTCTCTCAACGACAGAAACTCATTAAAAGTTTTATCTTTATTTCGTTAGCCGGTAGATGTGGCAATGCAATAATTGTTCCTGAAGTTAACTCTGGCATTTCGATATAATTTAATTTAATTTATGTGAAAAATAAAATTTTTTTTGTTCTCACGATACATTTGTTCTAAATTCGAGTTAAATCATAGCATTCAATAAGAGAATATCGATCGGTTAAAATTGCAAATTAAAATTAAATGAAATATGTGTATAACAATTATAGTAATATTAAACATAGATTTTTCGATAACTCTCTTAATTTTTAGTAAATCTGTTCATTATTTATCCGTTAACGTTTTTCACATTACTATTTATATCCCTGTTTTTCACTGTTTTATTATTTGTTCGTTGATAACAAGATTTCTTTAGTCTTGCGAGTAATATTAAGGAATTATTGGACATAAAAATTGATCGCAATGAAGGAGATTAAAGAGGATGACTTGTTAGATGGTAATGACATTCTGAAAAGCCATTGCCATTACGGAGATTCAAGATATAATATGTCTTCGCTTTGCAGAATCTCGTAATTCTTATTACTAAAGTTGAGAGCACTACATCAATTATAAGAGCCTACTGACTTTAGAACTTGAAAATTTCGAAATATATATTTTCCATAGTGTGGGAGGGGGTGGGTGGTCACGTAAATAATAACGGCTCTTTCGGAAACAAGATATTGAAAATAATTGGGGCGTACATTTCCAACTGCATGTTATTAGGGCCAAGGGCTAGGCTAGACTGTCGGACCGCTGTCCGCTCGCTGTGCCTCGCATCTTCCTTTGTTTTCGCGGGGGAAGACGCTTTTCTCCTCCCGCGAGCGATTGGTCGTACCCCTCGCGCGCTCGTCGTGCGCTTCGCACGTGTGCTTCTAGGAATCGCGGCGTCTAGCAGTTGTTACCCGGAATCTGCATCTCGTTCAGGAAAACCAAAATTCGCGTCTCGCTCCTATACCTAAGATTACTACACAGTCTTATTTATAGTCAATTTGTGTACAAAATTTCGAATATTTACTTTCGTAATCACACGTCTTGTTTGATAATTCCCAAGAAATATCGCAACATACGTTTAAACCATTAAAGTTTACACACGCACGATAAAAGATATACTTAGTAACTTGCTATTACCGAAAGTTAAACAGAATTACAATTTTGCTTAAGAGAAGACTAGAAACACACACACACACACACACACGGTGTGTTTGCTGTAGCCGGCAAATGTAATGATGTCGTTCCTAGTTTTCGGTGGGAATTAATCGAATTGTGTTTGCGAACGAACGTTCGTCGCGCGAAGCTCGGTGAAACAGTAAAGATCCTGCTATATAATCCCGCAAGTGGAAGAGTGATTCAGGAGCGCTCGCTTCTCGAGAATCCGACGATTTAAGGATGAAAATTCGAGTCCGATGATCGTAATGGATGACTTGCCGGGCGTTTAGATGAACATCAAATCGCTGACAAATGCGAACTTTATTTCAATCCTCTTTGCATAAGAAGCGGTCAGGATTTGTTGTCCACTCACGCAGATAAAATGACTACGCTCTATTCTCCGGTCTTCTATCTGTGCTGTTCCAGAAAGCGCCAAGTTAGACGTCCTTTTCTTCTTCATCATTCCCTTACTTTCTCTGATGTATCTTATACATTATGAAAGCCGCTAATCGCCGCAATGGTCTTATTCGTCTTCCCTTAGTTCGATTATTACAGTGCCATGCTTAATCATTTGATTGGTGAACTTTATAATAGGTCGCAAAGATTCTTTAACGCTGCTGTCGTCCCGATAGAAATATATTGAACGTATTGCGCCATATTATCTAAAAAAAAAAGATATAATTCTCTGTACGGTACAAGCATCTTTTACAGCCAAAAATATATTATCTTATAGAATCAAGTGTCTTTTCATTTATCAGTTTTGTTTTCTGTTTGCTCCCCTTCTGTTGGAACGACTCGTGTCTCTGCCCTCAAGTTGTTTGTACCAGCCGGTCGTACAGAAATATATAAGAGATCTTTCACAGTTACGGCATCTTGACTTTGGAATTCTCTTCCTGATATAATTATCAACCCTTCCTTCTTAGTTTCCTTCCGTAATAAATTATATCAAGAATTATTGTGACGTGAAGAAGTAAATATTTCGTAGAATGACAAATTTATAGGCGAATCTACAGTGCGTGCGATTAAACAATTAGTATTTAACAATTAAAATTCTCTTTGTAATATTATTATTTATTACGTATTATTATATTGATAGCATTTTTTGTTATTATGCTTATTATTTATCACTTATTATCATTGATAGTTCTATTTTTCCTAAGATAAGGATTTAGTAATATAATAATGTAATTTAATTATTTACTGCCTATTATTGTATACTATACTACACTGTAAGTTATTATTTCATATTATTTTATTTTATATTTGTGTGCTATTATTGATTTAATTTATTTATTGCTTGTCTGCGCTTTGTATTATCTCGAATTGTCATTTGTCTATCTTGCGAATTATTTTCTTCAGACGGGATTGGACTCACTCTTCTCTAGTTTTCTACTTTGTTCTATTTGTGTGATATTTATGTATTTGTTATATACCTGAAGGGATCCAAATCCACGGAGAATAAACTATTTATCTATCTACCTTCCATCTTTTCCGTTCCTCCCTTGATACCGAATGGCGCTCAACCCTTCGAGCCATTCCACAGTTTGACATGCGCTCTGCTTCGCTTATCCGACTTATATCTCAACTAAATCTCTACGTACATTGCATTACGAAAATTGCAATTTTTTTACCAAGTTTCGTAATCTCAGTAATACTGTTTTATCTCGTTCGCGTAATCTCTTGTCGACAATGCGTAGTTCGTAAAATCAGTGTAGGGTTCTTGGGTATCTTAGGCCTGCGTTATAATTATTAATTTAACCTCGAGCGAAAGTTAGAGAGTACCTTTCGTGCTTAGAACAAGGTGATTTCCTGCTGTGAAACTTTGCTCTCCGCGTAAATCCGGCGCGATGAAGCTTTAATTCCACTCCGCAAAACGTACGATGCGAACATTGTCAAATATACGAGCTTAATTCAGGAGCGTGGTCAGAGTCGAGCGAGCCCAGTAATCCAGGTGGGAAGCAATTTCGGTTCTTCATCAGGCTGCCTTATGTACTTAAAACGGAAAGAGAGCGCCGCGTACTGTATTCCCGGCGAGTACGCGGCGCTCCCCCTTCCTCTTCCGTCATTTTTATCGTCTTTCCTCTTTTGCGACGCCTCGTATGTATGATATCTTCGCAATTTTTACACCGCGTCGCCGCGGAGCCTACGTGACACTTCAAAATACCGCGAAATTAGATCGATGGGGTAGCTGCACGCTGTTTGCGAGCGAACTGCAATAGCAAAAAGTGGTTTCCGCGCTTTGAGACACGAAAGGTGGTCAATATAGAGGAGACTCGATAATCTAGATGAGATGCAACTCAATTTCTCACATGAGCCCTCAAGACGATATCAGAAGCGATATGACGACGATGTTGCCTTGTTTACTAGTCCAACATAGTCCTAGTTCCAACATCGCTTTCTTCCGTTGACTTTGTGGTCCAGAATAAGTTTAGAATACCGACGATACAAAGAGTAGAGACGCAAGTCTATTCGTATAGACTTAACAAAGATCAGGCTCCTTCCTATTTATTATATATTAAGCTTCAATATACAAAGAAAGGCATTTCTTCAAAATCCTTGAAGAAAACGCTTCAGCAATGTAGTAACCAGAAGCAAAGAACACGGCAAACTACATACTCGCTAATTTTCTGAATTCTTTCCGTCGACAGGACACGCGACGCAGTGTGTTAGTCACAGCGGTTCGCTGACAGAGAAACTCACGACTTGTACGAATCTTCGAGCGTACATCGCGTACACTGTCTCTGTCGCTCTAACCCTAACCACACGAGGACCACTCGCGCGCAAGGCTAAGAACTGGTCAGGGTCGCGCGAGTCTGCTAACCCAGATAGACGGACGCAGGCCCGCTTCTTCGCAGGGTCGTCTTCGGCACTCGCGTAGGATGCTGAACGAGGATCCTGTTGTTGCGTACTCTCGTCGTCCTTTTCCCTCGCACGTGTCACGCATCCGGCTCTCCCTCACTTTATCGAACGACATCTCCCTTCCTCGTTTCCTGTCTCCCTCCCGTCAGCACCCGTTTCCCTCTTTCTTCCTCTCCATCGCTCTAGCAACCACCCTCTCGAGCTACCCTCGAAGGCCACCCACTACCCCACACTGGCTGTCCGCGCACTCGTCCGGGGGTGGCGGTAAGTTCTCGCGCAGCCAGTGCCCGCGCGTCTCTCGCGATCGTCGGACCGCGCGTACGTAAAACGGGGAGGTTCTTGTTGTCGCGTGGATGTTCGCGCGCGGTCGCCCGGAGCCGGCCGCGAGAACTCGCGTGACTCAGTGCCGGAAGTAAGCTCGACGTTTATTTCTCCCCGCGGGTGAATAAGAGCGCAAAGAGCTCACGGGAGAGAGCCGGCGGCGATAGTCGCTGCGCGAATTGCTTCGGCTCGTCCGACGATCGGACCACAGCCGGTTGTCGCTGATCTCGAGAAACTTCGGGGGGCGACGGTGATCGAGCGGCGCTCGAGACTCCGCGACAGTTCGTCGCACGAATGATACAGCGTCACCAGTGCTCTCCGCTACCGGGGGGGGGGGTGGACTTTGTCCCGGAAGATTGTGCTCCGGTATTTCGCCGGTCTTTTTCAGGGGTGAAGGGTCGATCGGTCGATATTCCGTCGCGGATCTTCCTAGCGACAGATTGTCGTGCGGAAGGTGCGAAATTCTCGCAAGTCTACCTACCCACTCACCCCGCCCTTCTCCTCTTTTGACCGACGGTGTAATGACGCGGATGACGATATAGTGAGTCGAACGATGCGATTTGTGTAGCTGCTGCTGCGAGGAACGAGTGAGCGGCGGTAAAATCGATACGGGCGATACGATAAAGCGATTGAGGATATGCACGGAAGATCGAGATGACTTTATGAAGAAAGTGCGGGGATAGTGGGACGTGTCGGGGATTAAAGGAGACGCGTCGGAATGTTGAGGGCGTCGCGGCGGCCCTAAATCCGATCGAGCAGCTGAGGGAAGTACCTCGTTCCCCGAGCACGAGGATCGCCTATAACAATCATGTGGTGCAGGACGAGTCTCGTGAGGTGCGTCGGCACCTTCTATGTCGCGTAGATGAACGTGAGTATCGCTTAAGTTGTCGTATCGAGAGAATTGAACGCTTAAAGAATACGTACGCTTAAAGTGTCCAAGAGAAAACATAGCTACTTACCTCATCAATGGGTTCTATAAATTATTTTAAATGACGTCGCATGAAATAGCTTCCATTGATGATTATCTATTCTCCTGATCCAAATTTCCTAAAGCTTCCCATTGTTCCCCCCCCCCCTCTCCATACAAACACAGATTACTTGTAAATAATTTCAACAATTATCAAGATGCAAACATTTCGATATTGTTTTCTTATAGTGTAGCTTTCATCTATATTACAATTTCCAGAGTGTAACGTAAAAGACTGTTGTAACGTGTAATTTAGACGCGTCCAATTCGCTTGATCGAGCTACCTTCCTTTGTTTGTTGAATTCAACATCCAAACGTTAGCATCTCAATACTGCTGAGAACTGGACAACTGCGTTGTCTGTTTAAAAGCGGCTTTAGAATTCACGGGTAAAGTATCTACTTTTACGCGAAAATGTTCAGTGCTGACACACACACACACACACACACGTGCGCGCGCGCGCGCGCAAACACACGTGCACACACACACGCGCACACACACGCGCACACACACGCGCACACACACACACACACACACACACACACACGAAGTTGCGGTGGAACAGAAAGGATGAATGCGATGAATAGTGTTAACGTATCGAAAAGACTATCCTTTGTAAATACTTATCCCTGATAATCATTCACGTATTTCATAGTATTCGAATATAGTCGCATTCGCAAGCACAAAGTTAAATAGTAATCTCGAAAGGTATATTCATGTGCGAAGGATTCAACTCGCGCTTTGAAAACGGCTATTACGCGCGAATGAATAAGAGACGTATTGAATAGTACGTAATTTTTTTGGACTTTCGTATTATAATGCTATTACATAGTAATTGGTTATAATTCCCATCTCGAATGGATGGGCTTTCCGCGTAATCTCTGTCGACAATCAAGCGTACAATCAAGCGTTCATTCCGATATAAACCTTTCCTGACAATGTTTTAATACATTTTTTTAAAACAGCGACGTACAATTGTGCTGTGAAATATTTGTACTAAATTTACTTTAACGTAGAGCCTGTATCATTCAATTATCCAATTTCTACAGCGCGTAAGATGTTAGGGTCATCAGAAGTGAAGAAAATGTAACGCGAACATCTCTTTACGTCCAACAAACAAACAGGTAAAAGCGCATTTTTAACGAGGTTTTAAATAAGCAAGATCCAATTTCCGACATTTATCACTGATCGTCGCTGATCCACGTGGTCCAGAATAATAGACGTCGATGCAGTCATTAATCATAGTTATCACAACGTTCCAGTGGTATGATTATGTGTATTTGCATTGTTCACTGTCACGGTACGACTCAACTTGAAACGCAACGATATCCGCAATTCCATGCGATTTCCGACCGGTTGACAATTAATGAACATGATAGCGCAACTATCCCCCCGTTTCTATCCTCTTTCTCACTGTCCCGCTCTCTCATCTCTTCGTTTCCCGCTCTCTTGGCGATACATCGCGTTTGTAGAAGATCCAATTTTATTTATCAAAACATACATTTTCATTGCACCCGAGCAAATTGTCAACATGTTTATTTTATTTCAACGTTTAAATTGGAACTTTTATTTTTCCGATTATCGTTATTTCAAGAGCTTTGTATTTGTAACACAGTGTTACGTTATAATCTCAAGTCTGCCATGATTTTCAGTATTTCTTTTTATTAATCCGTTATTCTCTCTACAATATTACGTAACTGTGATTTTATTTTATTTCATTCTGCAATTTTACGTAAAGAGGACATGCCATATCTCAATAGCGAAACAATTTGAAATATATCGTTTGTCGTGTCAATATATATGCGAATATTCAAATATATTCTATATTTATATTTGTATTTAATATTATTAATAATATTTGCATTCGTAAAGTTTGCATTTTAACGTGTTTATTCAAACGCATTTCTGTGGAGTTTTTATAAATGGAAAAGCGTTCATATTATACTTTATTTAATACACAACAAGCTACAAGTAATTTTGAACATACATAAAGACAATTTTCGAATGTAGATTTAATAAGAGATTTGAGAGAAACAATGTGAATTTAAAGTCGATAGAAGTTGATTTAAAGTCGACATGTCTAAGTAACGTTTCGGAAGAGAGGATGTAATTGATTGAAAAGCTAATATTTGATATCAAGTATTCGCAAATACTCAAAAAATTAAAATTTTAAAAGAGGTAATTAACTCGTTGGTTGGTTGGTTGGTTGGTTGACCAAAAGGACCGATTATTACCAAAAGGAGAACGATTATTCTTTGACAGTAACTCGATAGCTTAATTTACAAGGAGCTCAAGTATACTTCGATATAAATATATTAATTAAAGAAATCTTGAAAAACCCTGTGTAACACCTGTTAATTAAAGCTCGAATTTACATACACAGTAAAGCCCTTCATCTGTAATTAATTTATTTCCAATAACTGGATGGATTTTTCTGCGGTTGCTTTGGTACGCTGCTAATGTAACATTATATTACAAATTTGATCTCGTTAATTGGGGAGTCGGTGATCGTCGATAATAAAGTCTTTATATCATTATTATCTGCTTGTTATCTCATATCTCGACTTCGCAAATGCAGCTTTCGAGTTAACCTCTTGCAAAATGTTTCACCCAATTAATTGCAAATGCATTTTCCTCGTCAAATAAAGTACATGTATGTAATAAACGATGGCATATCTTCGCTGAATTAACGGCCCAACGAATGCGAAATCATGAAGTCGCCTTTATGTACATTTATAATGCTATATTCTCAATTTCTATCAGAGACGACTGCGTTTCACAGCGTCAAGCGTAGTTTCCTTTAGTCACGCGCGAAGTTGCGACTCGTGAAGTAAGTCGTTGAATTCCTACGTGAGAAAAACTGATTTCATGTGGCACTCTGAAGCGTGTAATACGGTAACGTCGCGGTAGTAACGATGTGTGTTTAAAATTTTTTTCCTACTTTAAGCGTCCCTCGCACCTTCTCGAGTCGCGAGGACGTAGTTAATGCCCTATTCCGACATAATTGAGACAAATGAGTCGCGTTCGTCAAAAGTTTCTCTTCAGCCGCACAGCATTATATTTTTTGAAGCATGCGTTTACTGAAAAGCGGAAGTACGTCTTGGGGATTCATAATTTCCTGGCTTGCGTTTACTTTTAAGCGCTTTACACAGTTGTTTCGGGCGATATTTCGTATCTCTTTCCGTCTTTCTCTCGTTATCTCCGCTACAATTTTGTAACTGTGTCCCTGCAAACTGCGGAAAACTCGTGACAAAATGAACGTATTTAATTAAAGCCGACGTACCTTTTCGTAAATGTTATGCAATGCGAATGCTTTATCCTTCGCAAAGTTGCGAGTACACTGAGAGACTGAAAGGAGAAGAAGATCTAAGGATAATTGCATTTTCACAAACCCGAAAAATCTCATTTGATAGAAGTGAGAAGACGGGAATTTGCAATTTACGCTGTCGTAAACAGCCTTATATACCGACACGGGACGCGTACACTTTAACTCGGCGATTAATTTCTTCGTTCTCGCGCGTCTATCTATCTTGGTGTAACGTCGAATCGCGAAAAACATGTCTCGAGCAAGGGCGAAATTATCGATTAATCATTCGCCGTTTCTTCGTTAGACAACCGTTAAATCACGCTCAACCACAGCGCATCAACTTTCTTCCTGGATTTCCTCGAATATGGAAGTTATGAAATTCCTGCCGACACCGTCGCGTTATTAATCGCGCTGCCGTGCCATCGACCGACCGACCGACCGACCGACCGCCGTGCGTTCATTCGCGAGGAGCGATGTATCGTTGATGACGCACGGTAGGTTGCATTCCCCCGCCTCCCCCCCTCTGCCGGTTGTTGTGGGAGCGCCTCAATAATTTTCCAAAATTTATTGTGGTCGCCCGCGCGCGCGCACACACGGAGCGAGGGAGAATGAAACAAGAAAGGGAACGGAAGTTGAGGTCCTCCAGAACGAAGGCGCCGTGAGTGTCTTGACTAGCCGTTCAATCCTGATTGGTGGCTCATTCGTCGTACAATGCGCGTCGATTCCTCCCCGGTGCTATTTCCCGGTGCGCCAGGCAACTTCTAGCTGTCGTGGCTTGTATCGTATTGCATCAATCTGCCGCGGCATCGTCTACCGCTGGCTCTCCCTTGCGACTGTCTCGTAATAAAATCGATTTAGTTAAGCCGCCGCGCCGCGTGGAAACTGCACTGCCGTGCAGTAATATCGAAGCCATTTAATAACGATGCCCACTTAGGCATCTCAGTGATTGTGCTAACAAGCGCGATTCGTTGAGCGCTCCGTTCTCGATGATTGAAACGTTGTAAAACGTTTTAGGTTGTAAGTACGTTAAAAGTACACGTTAAAATTACCAGCCGCATTAACGGTAATCGAATCGAACTACGGCTACAAATAAACGTACAAACGACTGCACCGCCAATGGACATGATTACACGTACATTTAATCCCCGGGTACATTTTCCACGTACATTTTTAATCGCCGACTTATCGTTCCGCGAGCATCGAGCATTCCAACTAAGGATAAGGCCCGATAAGATGTGTTTACCGGAAGAGTCGTAGTGCGTACCACACACGAGAAGATGATTTTAAATTTTGCAATAAGGAGCGCGAACTCACAGGCTTTCCAGTTAATGGACGGGATTAGTCGTGATGGGGCAAAGAAATAAGACACAACTGAAAGTACTTCGCTGCGGTCGCTGTGTTCCCTTTGCCGTCTCCACAAGGGTCAGAGTGTTGCGTAATGAGTTGTTAAGGATGCATCTACTCGAAGGTCTTAAAATACGGTACATGTGGCTAAAGAGTCTCGTAAAATTGAGCGACTCGTCGAGAAAAAGAGGCGAAGGGAGTTGCTTCTGTTTAGAATTACAGTCGCCGTTCTCTCTGTTCCTTTACGATCCGAGGCGCATTCTTTCCCTCCTACCGATTAATCCCTTCTTCTCTACCGTAAACCCGATAAAGAGGAAGAACACGGCGCACAGTTTTTATCGACGATAAAGCGCACTCGAAATGTTACTCACCGCCGCGAAACGTGCTATATCGCCCGGCGCGTATCGTATACCCTGTATCGTACGTTTTATTGATTAAACCGCACTCAAATCTTTATTGTCATCCGAGATAAATGCGCCGATGTGAGTAAGCACGAATCAGCAAATGTTCGTAAAATTTCAAGTGTTCGCGTGAAATCACGTAAAAAGAAAAAAAAAAAAGAAAAAAAAGATCCGGGTTACCGAAAACACCGTCGTAATTTAGCCGTCGTTTGTCATTTAACGTGCAATCTCTCAACAAGATACGACAAATAATTAACATATTCTACAACTGTCGCGCCGATCTAGCGGCAGAGTGCGACGTTTCTCGAAGCAGCGCTTGCAGCGGAAAAAGCTTCGCTTCCTACATTTTAAACTTCAAGAACACGGCGTGGCTTACACACGCGAAATGCCTTGGATCGTTCTCGTCGTAATGCGCTTTTATCGTCCAACCTTCAGCATTGTAATATTCGCAAAAATGCGCATAATTTCAAAGTATCTACCCGTTGCACGTTTGATACAGCTTTAAGGAGGCGAGCGCCGCGGTAGTCTCGGCTTGTGAGACCGAAAGACCGCGAGGCTCGCGGCGAGGGTTAGGTCGGCGACGCAACGACGAGGACGAAGTCGCCGTAAGAAGTCATCGGGAGGGAGAAACAAAAAAACAGACAGGAAGAAAGCCTCGACAGCCGTTCAAAACGCAACGAGCGCACCTACGCAATCAAGCGGCGCGCTTAGGACGGCCGTTCGGCAAACAAACACGGCGGGAGGTAAAGTTACCCCCGGCTAAATTGGGTTAGCTGAAATCCGTTTACGCTAACTCTAATGGCGAAAGCGTGAGCCGCATGCGGCATCGACACCGAACTTCGACATCCGTCGAGAGCCGATGCTCGCGTCGAGGCCGATTCGATGCACGCCGGTGTTTATTCTTCCGGCCAATTTTTCGACTGTCAAATATCGTTACCGGGAGATATCAGCGGCTCGTTGTTTGGAGTCAATGTACTTTCGGATCGCGCGCGTCACGCGGCAGCTGGAGCGACGCGCATTGTCGCACAATACGGAGAAACCTGAGTCGCACGTGGGACACGCCAATGCATGCTGATTACGCGTAAAGAAACTTTTAATTTTAAAGCCGCCAACGACTGACATCGATATAATTGATTAAACATGCTCAATTAGCTGCCGTACTTGTACAGAGCGCTAATTCGTAACGTATAATCGAGGTCGTTGCATTTCGTGTTATTTGAATCCGAATGATATGAGGGTACATTACATATGATCTGTCGGTGTATAACAGCGTGATTGAATTTATCCGGTGGTTAATAATTAGTGATCGCGAAATAACTTATGTCAATATAATCATGTAAATATATCGATGCTACAATCGGGGAGTAAGATAATTGTATAATGTATTTATTGTATGTGCATGATAATGTAGCTATTTAATAATGTATGCACACTTAATGCATTTATTAATATGCGATATAAACGACATTGTCAGATAAAATATTGAATATCGCGGTTAATACGCGTGCAGCATCAACAACGATTAAAACTTGTAAAACCTTAAAAACCTGTAAATTATAGCTGAAGTGAGATATTTTTACGTGCTCATGTTGTAAATTCAGAATACGCAAAGGAACAAAAATATCAATAAGAAATTACGCAGTAGCGCGGGATATTATTTTACGCGGTCAAAATATAAGACGAACATAATTTACGTATTATTTAAGAAAACGGAGGTTTCTTGGAGGTCTCTCGGAGACTCGAGAATGTCATGCGCGATTATCGTTGTTCGTCACACTATAACCTGTATTGTTTATCAGGTACTATATTATTAACGTCAATAGATAGAATGCAGTATTTGAGACATATAATGCTTAGTATTTAAGATATACAATGCTCAGAGCAAATTCTCTAAGCATCGACTACTTCATGAAGAAAATTGCAGCAAACCTCGTAGTTTGTTTCGCGAAACGTCATTGAGGTCGACGGAAGTTCTTGCGGACGTGCTGCACGCCGGCAAAGTTTGTTCTGATTCAACTACATTTTTTCTCGTAACGTAGTTTTAAGTACGAACTCTATCTGTCGTGTTAGCGACCGAAGTACCAAGACAGGTCGCACGAGTGCTACACGTCACGTCGAGATAGAATCGGGCCAGGAACATTATCACGGCGGGACCAAAAACTCCATCCCGGAAATGCTTCGGAAATAAAGGAGAAGAGAAAGAGAGACTCTGTCCTCTCCTCGGTATCTCCGGCGGACTGGCGGTCGTATCTGCCGGTGCGAGGAGGTTAAAGGCCGAACTCCTTTTTTCCACCTTTTCCTCGGAAAATGCACCGTCGGGAATAGAGAGAAGCCCTGGGCCCTACGCGATTTTACTCCGGAGACCCGTAGCGGTTCGCCTTTTCTCGCCTTTCTCACGAGGTCGAGTCGAAATAAAACCAAACCGGACGTTGTAATTCCGACGACGTTGATGCGCGGCCGTGGCAACCGCGTTAAAAAAAGAGCAAAGTGTAGAGCAACGTTGCTCGAGCTCTTTTTTCAGATTGCAGATTGCTCCTTCTAGCGTGTAGGGGGACATTAACGTGCACAATATGCACGTGACATTACCTTGCCGCAACATTACCTCCAGCGATCCCTTTTTCTCCCATTGCATACTTATTAATTTTATTTTGAATTTATAAGATATGCCGTTTCTCGTTCCTATGTGCGTTTGTATGTATGTGAATCTGTGTGTGTGTGTGTGTGTGTGTGTGTGTGTGTGTGTGTGTGTGTATACATTCGAATCTGGAGGTAAGCGCTTGCGAAAGAAACTTTTCAGAAGGGATAGAGCACAGTTTGAACGTTTAAACGTTTATTCGCTTTTAGCGAACTCGCGTATTTGCGCCACAGTGCTCGCAATACGAAGTTCATTCATCCCTCTTCGATCTCCTGGGACTTTCCTTCCCGTCAAAACGAGTATCCACTCGCGATCCCATGATCTTCTTTCACACTTTCCGCTTCGATATTACAATGCAGGTCTCTACTTTCTATTTTCAGATCGAAACCGTACGAAGGATGATAGCCATCTAAGAATCCTCTCCCGGCGACCCGTGCGACCAGTTTTTGAGGATGTGCAGTTTGGTGTTAAAGTGCCGGTGAACGAGCGCCCCATTCGCTCTATCTATGACTCCCTTCCTTTTCCATTATCGCGCTTCATCTCACAGGGAGTCCGCGCTAACGATGCCATAGTCGCCCAAGTGCGAACTGATTTCACGTCGGACACAATGGCACTGTTGTTCGCCATAATCGTTATTTCGATCACCACTGCTATGTCGCTGCCGCCGGTCATTAGAATCGGTAAGTCCATATCGATCCAATTTGTAACTTTCAGCTTCGACTATGCATGAGATGCTATTACAATTAGTCCCTCTATCCAATATGCGTAACAGCTTTTTACGTGTAACAACCTGAGCTGATAATTTATTAACGAATCAATTTTCCGCCACGTCAAACGACTGAAGGTTATCGTGTTGATTCTGCGATATGCGCGGTAATGCAATGTTTTGAAACAATATGTGAAATTCCCGATCATATTGTAGTTGAGTTCTTGTTCGATATAGTTGCGCAGTAAAACCAGCTCGTTTGTACGTTTCGTCAGTGTTTCAGAGTTATTTTGGGGTCATTAAAAGCAATCGCATGTTGTGTTAGAGGTTTTCAGTTGCAAGCTAAAATCAACAAGAAAATCCATATCCGTCCGTTCGCGTGAACGTAAAAAAAAATTTCATTTCTACCAACGTTATTCTCTATGCACGTTAGTCAACGCTTTCTTTTTTTTTTTTTCCACCATGCTCCGGGAAATAATTGAAAATTCGTTGTGGATCGATAACATAGGCTTTTAAGCTTCAAAAATATTTTCCCGAACAAAGCTGTGTAAAGCGAGATGTTTTCGTCTCTACCGACATTTTCTCATGACTTATGGTTTTCCGCGCACGTCGTTGATCACAGAGAGCGCCGGTGCACAAATATCGGGACGTGTACCATGTACAGTTCACTCGTGGGTCGTCAATTAGCCCGGCCATTCACATGGAATCGTCCAATTCAACGATACATCGCGGTCAATGTTTGACAGCATGATTTACTGTTTATCAATTTATGAACCGTGCGTCAATTAGCAAATGAGCAAGTTGCGCAATTCCGAGCGGTTCGCAAACTCGAAAAGTAAACATATACATGTGAATTGTATATTTGAATATGAATTGTATATTTTAGGATAATTGTGTGTGTGTGTGTGTGTGTGCGTGTGCCATTGTTAAGCCTCCCTGCCATTGTTAAGAATATTCTTTCCCCCGATTACGGGCAAGATGTACGTGTAAAATACGCAAATCCGCAAAAGTTTTGTCAGAATTATTCGTCAGTCATAACACCACACAGTCTTCCGGTTCAAACAGTTTCCAAGACGATGCTTGTATATATTTAGGTTAGTGCAAAAATAATCGCGGATTTTACGTATTGAATATAAAGACGCGTGTATCAGTTAAAAATTATATTTATTAATCAAAATGAAGATCATTGGCCTGCACACATTTCTCCCAAAGGGGAGACAGATTTGTTTATTTCTACAAGATAGAATTCTGGAAAAGATAACGGTAATTTCTCTTTCTCTGTATCTAAAGAAATCGGTGCCGAATTAAAATATAAACAAAAACCATAATTATTTTTGCATCAACATAAAATATTATATTTGCACTTTCCAGATGGGACGTCTGAACGTCGCGTCTATTTTTTACCATTCATGCCACATTTTTCTATTATTAGTCCGATTGTTTTTCACACAAAGACCCACACATACGCGCGGTGTTGACACAACGCGGCAAAGCCGCTGTGGAGAGAACAGCGGACGTGACACGCACGAATCGTCTCGAACGCGCGGCTTAATTTCTCGCCCTGTCGCAGAACAGCGACAATTTCGAGTTCACCGGCCGCGAACGGCAAATCGCTCGGCCACAAGTCAGTCAGTCAGTCAGTCAGCCAGCCAATCAATCAATCGGCGAGTCAGCCAGATCTCGATAACGGTTCGCGGGGTTCGCCGGGGGAGGGGGGCGGGGGAGGGGTCCGCAAGTTTTTCCTTTCCCGCGGGGGTGAAGCCCGCGCACAACTCACCCAACTTTACTCCAGGTGATTACACCCCCGGCCGGGGGCACAAGTAGATGCGCGCGGTTTGGAATTACAGAGTGCGCCGAGCTAAGTACGCGGGATCGAGTCTTCACCTGTTACCGTGCGCGCGACTTCATCAGTATGGGTTCATTAGTATTCCGAAGGCGTTCGCGTGGGTGTAGAGCAGACGTGTCCGTGCGTCGGATACCGGGCTTCGACTTCGGCCGTGTGTATCACCCGCCCTATCCAGCTGCCCGACCACCCATCAGCCCACACACATCCACGATGCGAGAGAGAGAGAGAGAGAGAGAGAGAGAGAGAGAGAGCACAACTCGAGGCTGCTCGTCAGTTAAGTCTGCTGGTAGGAAAGTTTCTGTCGAACTAATTGGTTGAATTTCTGTGGGGGGAACCGCCCCGGGGGAAACTTGTCCGCAATTTTCTATGATGTTGGTGAGAATGAAGAGGGCGATAAGGTAGAACGTGTTTGTCAGGGAGAAAGACAGAGGAAGACGGGGAGAAGGGAAGGACGTGTACGAAACGAATGCGCGACCGAAAGGAAGTAAGGCGGTCCCGAAGGACGTGGAGAGGACCCTTTCGTATCAGCGAGAAACGACAGCGCTGAGACCGCGCGCAGAAAATACGGAGGAATATCACGTATTCATGCCCGTGCGCGGGGTAATCTTTTTCGTATTCCGTCGCGTAATTGAAATATCTATTGCTCGTACGGAAGTTCCGGCGGACACGTAACGCACCGAAATGCGAATGAGGGTGCGACTGTGACCGATCGATGTGTGACTCTCTCTCTCTCTCTCTCTCTCTCTCTCTCTCTCTCGCGCGAGGATTCACCAGGGGACACCCCCGGAGAAGGGATATGAATTTTGCCTGCTTGCCCGCGCGTCAATTCGTAGATTTTTGTTTCGCAACGAGAGAAAGAGAGCGTGCGTTCGTGCGATATTGCAATTCCGGAGACAAAAGTCGCACCAGCTCTCCGATGTAACAGCCCAGCAGTGTAACAATAGAAGCGATGGGCGCGGCTCTCGTTGCGCGAGAGGCGAAATATTCGCCACATTGCCGCATCTTTCAGTGACGTAGAAGCGGAGTGGATTTCAAGATGATTAATTTTCTTCGTGCCGGCATTTCCCGCGTCTTCCCGGTGACATCTAAGCTGAAGCTTTCACACGGGATTGTGAGCCGAGAGTAAAATGAGATGGGCGAGTTTCCTATTTCTTAAGATTCTCACCGTGCGCAGACTAAGAGATTTCTTATCTCGAACGTATACGTAATTGATAGAACGGGAGTAATGTCAGCCTGGAACTTGATCTCTTCAACGCGATCCATTAGCAAACGTCGCATTAAATCGAAATGGTGATGTTTATGACATCACCGGCAGGAGATATTCGCTCGCTAATTAGTCAATAAAATGGAGGCGCGATATTATTAGCACGTTTATATCTGCAACGAACTCGTCTCGTGTAGAACGTATGGAGATTACGTTCCATTTACGCATTGTTGCCCGAGGAATTTTTGACGATCCGTTTGAAAACTGGAAAATGGATCCGGTCAGGAGTCGCTGGTAACTTCTGCCCGATAATCGCCCGTATAACGCATCCCTCATCGACCGTGTTTCAACCTATTCAGATAAGCGCTGTTGAAAAGCAACGGAATAACTGGCGCAAAACACGCTAAAATCGTGGCCTCGTGTGCGCGTCCGGTTTTTCGAGAGAGAGAGAGTTCTCGCGCAGTGTCATTAATATCTAATAATTACATTGGCCCGTACGTTCGCGTGTAATTCCGCGCGATAATAACACCTCAGTATTATTCTGAAACAACTGCATCTCGTCATTAATCCGCGCAGAAAGCAGGCATTATGCGTGTCAAAAGGGCCAAGTCCGAAAACCAGCTATTATTGTGATGAAAATGGAGCTCACTGGAAATGATTACGCGATCAATATTCGCACAGCGCGCGTTTCCGCGCCGCTCTCATTGTGATCTCACAGCGTGAGTCGTCCGATGTTAAGAATCGTCGCCAATTTTACGATTCGTACGTTCGTGCAACTACGCGCGCACGACCTCCGCGACCCGTCGTTGACGATATATCGTTATTGAACGTTGCGACGACGTTCGGATTGTCGCTCCAATTGGAACGAGAGAGCACCCATAGTTCTAACGTCGCCGTTATATGCAGTAAATAAGAGTACACGGATGCGCACTGGGTGAATCAGCCCGCGATGTCGGCCGCCATCGTTTGTAACGTTCGCATTTCCGCAGGGAGTTTCATTGTTCACGATTTTATAGACGACGCGGGATACACGCTGCAAGAGCGAATTAACGTAATTCGTAACTGCGGCGTCGGCGGTGCCGGCGGCCGCGGCGGAGGTGGTGAAAGGGAAAGGTTACGAGAACGAATATCTGATAACAATCGAGATATCCTCAGCGAACAGAGCGCTGAAAACGATGGAACCGTAAATGCAGTCGCTCTCGTATTCCGCGAGGCGAAAACGGCGTATTGTGATTTGCGACGCCGGCCGGCCGGCGAGGTGTTTCTCGGTCGAGAACGGCGGATCTCACGATACAACGGACTTCGAAAACTGATCACCTCCTTTCTTCTAATTTTCGATATTTTCTGCCAAACGCGCGGAAAACTTTGTGGGGAATTTCAAAGTCCGCACGACGACGACGACGACGACGAGCTGCGTGCGCTTTATCTCCGCGCTAAATGCAAACGTTTTGCGGAACGAGGGGGAGCGCCATGAAATTTCAAGTACTCTCAAGAATAAGAGCTTCGCAAAATAACGCGGGAGAAACGTGAGGTTGCAATACCACAGCCACTTGCCTCCCTCCTCCTCTTCCCCGTCCACTCATTGTTATCCGAGGTACATACAAAGCGCGCATTCCCCAAATGCAAGTTCATGAATCGCCGCGAGTGCTCCCGCAGATTTTGCCGCGCCACGTCCCGCTGATAAATCGCCGTTACGCCCGCGGAAAATTATTGGTGCGATGTACTTGGCCGATATTCTTCGGAAGTATTACCGCATCTCCCCCCGCGCGCGCTCTCGGCACGCCAAAAATTTTTAACTCCGCGGAAGCGCGGCGCCAAGCAGCGCGCGTCCCCGGACTTTATGACGACAGGGGAAACTTACGCTCACAAGCACGAGTATGAATGAGCTTAACAAACTTCGAAACCCCTCCCCCCCCCCGCCCCT